TCACCCTCTGTCCGTCCAACACTCGTGGTGACAAAATTAAACTCTCTTATCCTAGAGCTAAGTCTAATGTTAGAGCCAAGTTTTTCGCTTTGAGGGCTTCATCCGAATTCGTTAAGTTCTCGAAGAAACACAGTATGCCTGGGAACTTAGCTCAGCTAAAAAAGATTCTGCATCAACATTTGACTTGAGGACTACTACGGACTATTCCGATTTCTAAACTACGTTGACACTTGAGGGAATGGTCAGGTTTCCGAGTTACGTTACCTTACGTTGCTTTACCTTTTCATCGAATTTCTTTTAATTATTACATCGAGTTCTGAAGATTGCAAGGTCCATTTTGTCAATTAGTTTTTTTGGATTTGCAGTTGCTTCATGTTGCTCATGTGCCTATGGTGCATGCAATAAATAGTAAATAGTAAATAGTAAAATGATGCGGTCCTGCACCTATGCAAAAACGACACCGATTTACAGACGATGGAGATAAGTCGCTGGTAAGGGCCAGCTGCGGTGAAATAAGGTATCTATCTGGCACAGCCGACTAACTTTGGCCCGCTCGGGAACAATGACCAATGCGTGCGACTCCCGAGTCGCATGAGGGAACTTCATCCAGTCTCGAGCGAAGGAAGTGAAGGAGAAAAGGGAAAGAAACCCAGAAGACCTGCGGCATAGAATCTCTGGAGTTGCGGGAATTTCTACTGATGAGGTTTTCTCGTTAGCCAATTAATAGTTCACACAGGGAAAGTAATCAGCAACATAATCTGTAGAAATATGCGATGTCAACTCTTCACACATCCAAACGAACAAAGAAGAATGCAAAACGAAGCATTCATGTAAGCTGTGTCATCTGCGAACCATCGAACCATCAATTTATAGAACAACCAAATGTTAGAGGACACGGATAAGAACCATACTTGGCTATAGTTACTCGTGGGCTTCGTCGTGCGGAGTGCGTCTGCTTGTTGGCCAAAAAAAAGTGGCACGCTGCTGCAACCAAGGACCCACTCACCTCACACACAGCAGAGATCAGGACCCTCGAAGGTTAGCCTACAGTTTGTCTTTGAACAGAGCAAGCCTCCACCAGTACTCGCTTCCAAGAAGATGAAGCCATTAGTCATCGCTGCTGAACTCAATATGACCTACATCTTTTGCTTTGGCACGAAACAGAAGTCCAATTTCCGGGTTTAGACTTTCCCGCCAGGTTCCTCGGGTCTGTCGCTCTTATACTAGAAGATATCAGCCGTTCGCTTTTTGGACCATGTCAATGAAGGATTTTCAAATATGAAAACTTTATGTCACATGACACAACTCTGACAGTCATCATTCCCTGCTCTTCTGCGCACGATTCGACGGATTCACAAGATACAAGGGTTGATGTCAAGTGTGAAAAGAACGTCCATACCGTCCACTGAGCCGACAACTTCAAAATTCTTCGTAAGGTAACACTCCATGAGCGGGTTGTCTCTTTCGCCGTCTTCCCTCAGTCGACTTTTTTGTCGACTAGAAGGTGAGGAGGTACAGTCCTCATCATTACGGACTGTCGGGGCGGCACAGCCGCGCTGCACTGTGACGCGACAGCGGCTGCGGCTCGGTGACGGTGAATCAGCTGATTTCGATGGAATTCGGCTGCAAATTCCCACTTTTTCAGCTCTTCAAGCTTCTAAAGTGGAAGGTGAGTCATACTGAAATACTGAACAATTTTGAATTGTTCTGGCTTTGATTTCCTTTTTTATGTCGATTATATGCTCTTTTCCTTGTATTTTGCCTTATTTCAGGCATTTATTCAAATGGCTTGCATTCTTTCAGATTCATTCAGAGTCAGTACAATTTAAAATTGCTCAAAATAACTCACCTTCCACTTTCGAAGCTCGAAGAGTTGAAAAAGTGGGAATTCGCAGCCGAATTCCATGGAAATCAGCTGATTCGCCGTCACCGAGCCGCAGCCGCTGTCGCGTCACATTGCAGCGCGGCTGTGCCGCCCCGACAGTCCGTAATGATGAGGACTGTAGTAGGTGAAGTTTTGCTTCGCTGAAAAGGATAGTAGTCAATAGGACGATGAGAAGATGCTCCAACATTCTCCTTAGCATCCCCTCGCGCAACACGCCAGACACGGTATAGGTGAACTTCGAGGTACTGAAGGAAGACAGTCGCTCATGGGATTCAGCCAAGTCTCCACAATTTCTACAGTCATGGTCTGAATTCGCTGGCGCCATGAATGCAAGCCTCGGTACCCACCGGTGGATGCGGTTTGGCCGGCAGTCGCTTCACATTCCTTTGACCATTTGTTTTGAAAGCCACGGCGGACAGGCCAACAGACTGTACTCACATCATGTCGTACGCAGTCGTGGTTGTCCCGACGGATTGCGTTGGTCGAGTTTAAGGCCGCCCTTGTAAACAAGCGTGGCTAAGGGGAACAGCTTTGGCGGCGCGCGGGGTGGGCAAAAGAAGCCCTGTGTTGAGTCTGTGGCGTACGGGGAGAAATGAAGAATAGGGGCGGCGCTGTGTTAGAAGGAGCGCCTGGGCCGTGAGTCCTTCGATTCGTAGCGAGCCCACAAGCTGAAAAGAAGCTACAAATGTGGTAGAAAGGAAGTTATCATGACTTTCTTTGGGATAGGAATGACAGCCACCAGTGGATACCTGCTGGTGCGTTGGTTGACGCGATTGATGTATGTCCAAATAGTTGCGCTCTAATGAAGAGCCGTGCTCCAAAGACAATCTTCAAAATTTCTGAAGCTGAACAAAGTGATTGAGGCTTGATCGCTTGGATTGAGTGTTAGGTGACGATTGTATTATTTTATTAGACCTGAATTGCTATACGGATACTAAAACCTCGATTTGCCGATAATACCCAGCCAATCCAGGTAAGCATGTGGATTGTGTAATGAAAAATTGGTGATTACTCTCTCAGTAAAGCAGTAAAAAAAACCGCCGAACAGTCTTCTTTCTTTACTTCTTTGTCTTTTGAATTCGTCCGTCGCTATTGCTGCCGCGGGAGCGCGCTGGTATATAAATCGGTAGATAGATTGCCTGTCCTTCGTGCTGTCTTTGTGCTCCTCTATCTTTTTCGTGTACGACGATATTCTAAATGAACTGCTTCAAAGTAAATAATAAAATGTAATACACGAAAGGGGTCCTCTTGTCCGTATTGTAGAGTTGCTCCTATGAAGATGGTGACGGACTCCTGCGGCAGGAACGCCACTATGCGTCATAACTGAACTCTGATAGCAGATGCCAAATATTATCTGTGCAGGGTGAGCAGTATAACAAGTTCGATCAGACATAAGAATGAGTCGAGTCTCTTCACAATGCTTGTTCAAAGTTCCTTGAAGCTCATCTAACCGCCCCTTCGGCCACGTGGGTTAGCGCTTGACGGAGACTGGAGAATCGGAACATGCGTGAAAGATCGACTTTTTTTCGGGGGCAGATTTGGCTGACACGTAGGTTCTAGGGGTAATTCGACCTCCTGAATATGAATATCACACCCGCTCCGCTCCCCCCGAAATTGCCTGGCGCCCGCGCCATAGGCTCCGGCGCAAAGACACCCTGGACATCCAAAAAATTCCGCTGAAAACTTGTTGCCCCGGGGGTAGTTGTCCTCCTAAACAGCGAATACACATACAGCTGCGGAGCCTTGAAACCACTCGGCGCTTCAGCGCTCACAGGCCACTGCGGCAAAATGCCGCCAAGTCACTGGGGCCTGTGGGCGGCAGGCTTTTTCAGGCCAAGTGGAGCGATATTCATGTTCAGGAGGTCGAATTACCTCTAAACTCAAATTTCAGCCAAATCCGCCCCCGTAGAAAAAAGTCGATCAGGATCCAGCCTGTTTTCGCAAAATTGGGGTAGTAATAGTTGAAAGTGCCAACAGGATAAACGTTCCGGGTCGGGACGTGATTGACGTGATTTTTTGCCGCCAGGCAAAGGGTACGAACCGCAGCGAAACTATCGAAGGATGATGGATTCAGAGCACGTCGTACACTGGGGACCTCCAGCAGGAGGGTGGGCGTAGTAATGTTCCCGTCTGTTGACCTTCTTCGCTTTTTTCTGTTTCAAAAGCACCAAGCACCACTCTCCTCCTCCCGTGAGGAAATTTCGAGGGGGGGGGTGCGTATTTTCAAAGATTTTTACCTAGGACGTGCCCTGTTTGGAGTCAGCCTCAAAGCAATGCTCATAATTTCAGCTCCGATATCTGGATCCTTTGGTGGCTTTCGGGAACATCTTCCTGCTTTGCAGTTGGCCTACGCTAACCCAGTGGTACGCCAGCTTTTAATAGAGATGCACGTAATCTTTGAAAAGTGCCGGCAGATGACCCAACATGAAAGGTTGGACACCATAGGGTGAGCTTTGCTATGATTTCATGAGGCAACTTTCTTTTGAACCAATTTTCTCATCGTTCATTTTACAATTCCAATTCGTTTACTCCAAGGACACTGTCTCAAATTCAGGACGCTTTCGATCTCACGTGAATACCGATCAGCACTTCTACATTGTGCTGCAGAAGTAAACGATGACGAGAACGTTTACATGCGCGATTTCACGATCTGGACATTGTTCGAGACGATGTTTTTCAAACAAGGAGGTGGGCCTTTACCTGTGCTCTTTAATTGTTATGGTATTTTGAAGCGTGCAGTGATCTGGACCTTAAGAAGTCGATTTGTTAAAAAACTGATCGTGCCGTTTCCAGACACTCCTATATGTCTCGACCTCATTTTATGGAGTGAAGAATCATTCACGTTCATTGATAGGCTTGTTCAGAAAGCCTCCAACGAGCTCGACGAGGGTCTGTCAGTTGGCGAGGGAAGCTACTGGAGAGCGGTAATTCGTTTTTTTTTGCACGTTTCCTATTTTGTGATGATGAAGTGAACCTAACCAGAAATGGGTTTCAATTTTCCATGGGACTTCGAACCGGGATTTAGGATACCAGTAGAATTTGGGATACTGGCTGCAAATGTGGAAACTGCTATCTGAGTCTCGAAAGCGAGTTGTGAGTAGCCAAATCCACCATTATCGTTGAAAACGTCCACAGGGTAGGGGGGAGGGGCTTGTAGCTAAAAAGCATGCGTTTTTGCATCTTATTCCGCATCGAAGAGCGAAACTGTCCCAGTAGAGCGGATTTCTGGTCAAGTCGAAGTGCTGGATTAAGCATATATGCCATGAATTGCAAATTTTGACACTTCATACTCGCTTGCGAGACACAGTTAGTAGTTTTTGAAGCTGTTTTGTTATGATAACTGCTGTTTAACGCCGCAGTACGCGTTCCGAATGTTATCACAAGAATGCTGAGTTGTGGGCAAAAGTGCCCCAGGCGGGAGTCGAACCCGCACCTCACGCTTTCCGGGCGAGTGCGCTATCCGTTACGCCACCAGGGCCGCTTTTACCCTCTCAGCTTAACGGCTTATGCCGTCGCCTATCAGCAC